GACAATCTTGCGAAAACACCTGGTCGCGAGTATGTCTAAGTGGCAGTCTTGGCAGTTGAGCTGTTCACAAGTAGATGACCATCAACGCTCACAGGTAAACTACAATCTGGACAGAAGAACTGTCCAAAAGTAAATTGCAATATTGGCACAAGACCTGGCCACAAGTAGTTCTTTTCAAAAAGCAAATGGCCCACAAGTACATGGCAATATTGACACAAGAGTGTACACAACAGTGAAAATAGTGGGCTTATGAAAAGTGCAATCCACAAACCTCACAAAACTGCCTTGAGCAAGTGGCATCCACAAAACAGTAAATGATGTCTCATGTAAAGTGAGCATAGCTTTCCGAAAACATATACGAATGACCCAAAAAAAGTCGTACACAGTCCAGCGCCCAAAGCTATTGTGCAATTTGACTGCAAGGAAATACAGAAGGTGATTTGCAAGAAAAACAGCTTCACAAGTAAATGTATCCAGAGTTTAATGAACTCACAAGTGCAGCATCAGCATGTCCAGAATATAACATGGAGATAACACATTTGAATATGTGTGTGTACTTTTGATGTGTGTTTGTTGATTTTCTGCTTATTTTCTATGTACTTTTATGCAGTTTGTATGCAGCTTATATGTAGTTTATGTGCAGTTTTGAAAACTACATGTAGTTCTCAAAACTGCATGTAAACTGCATATAAACGACATATAAACTGCATACAAACTGTATATAGTTTTTGAAGTTCTTCTTGCACATTTCACCTATCAATGAATGCCGTGGCATGTAACAATACTCCTGAGCTAATTATAACATAACTGTTCAACATTTACTTGAGCAGTTCTCCAATAACAGAATTCCCATGAATACTTTCATTTACTTGTGAGCAGTTCTTGTTGTGAAGATGCGCATTTGCGTGTGAACACGTCTTGAGTGTCATTTACTTGTCAGAAGTTCTTGCTTTGGAGATGTGTATTTTCTTGTGGCTTGTTCTTCAGTAACTTCTGTCATAAACTGGTGGGCAGTTCTTGTGAACAGTACATTGAATGCCATCTTCAATCTTCCTACAGCTTTCTGCGGCTTTTTGTTTTGAGAGATTGTAATGTATTGTGGGTGATCCACTGCGCTCATGGCTGATGGAATGCCAAATGAATCTATGGTGGCCCAAACACCAGCAAAGTCAGAGAAAGATAGTGAGAAGCCTTCATCAACAAAGGCAAAAGCTGCTCCCAAGACTGCGCCCAAGGAAAAGGCAAAGAACAATGTTATCAAGAAGTCAACCCAAGCCCAAGCCACCCAAATCAGTGCCAAAACCCTTCAAGCGACCTTCAGGACAAGAACAAACCTGGCAAAGCTGGAAGGTGGGCATTGCGCCTGTGCCTGAGGAGAAGGACAAAGAGGAGGAAGCAGAAGAAGAGAATCAGAAGGAGGAGGACCCAGAAGTAGACCCAGAGAAGAACAAGAGTGCAGAGACCAGAGACCAAGTCAAGCAACAGAAGTTCACGCAGATGCTTGCTGCCGGTGAGATCCCAGAGTGGATTGCAAGGTTGTGGAGGAGTACAAAGAAGTTCAAACATGGCAAAAGAGACAAGCAAACCCTGATTTTGTCAACAGCCTGTGTGATAGACAGGGGGGAGGTTGATCATGAACACAGACAAGGCGGTTTTCAAGAACATGCGACATGTGACATGAGTCAAGTGAACAAATTTTGAGAAATCACTCTTGCAAAAACTTAAACACAGCCAACAACCACAACAACAAAACAACAACAGCGCAGAAATAACAGAAACCCAAAAAAACAACATATGACAACACATGTTTCAAATACAAAAAATTGCTTGTCTTAATAATTTAAACTACTTGTCTTACTAATTTAAACTACTTGTCTTACTAACATTTACTATGGTAAAAATTACTTTGATTTTTTACCTCATTTTTACTTTACTAATGGAAATTAAGTAAAATTTTGGCAAGCTAATTTAGATCTGCAGACTCAGGGTAGAGGGATGCTGTTTCTATGTTGCTTATATGTTGTTTCTATGCTGTTTCTATGTTGTTTATATGCTGTTTTGACTTTGTGAAACTTTAGTAGTTAAAATGAGTTTTTCAACATTTTAGTTGAATACAAACAAATTTTTTTCAGTTACATTGAATTCAACCAAAAACTAAATTTACTTGATCAGCAGACTCAGGGTAATTAGGGTAACAGAAGGAAATGGTACTCGACACACTCGTGTGTCAGCGCCTTTCCTTCTGTTGTCCCTGTTCTAGTCTACTCTACCCGGGCGGTTTAAGACTAAAGTCCCGCTCCCTAACTATTGCACGTAATAAACAGCTGCTAAGTATTCAGACACACACACATGGACATACACCCCCTCCCTGCCCCCCCGCTTTCTCTCTTGCGCTTTCTTCGTTTTCTAGGTTTTCTTTCAGGCTTGTTAGGTGGTTCTTGTTGCGGCTCCTGAGCAAAGAACACCTGTTCAGACAAAAGATACCACCTGAACTCAAGGAACAACATGTTCAACTGGAAGGGGATTGGGGTGTGGAGTGATTCCCTTATGCAGAGTATCCCTGCAACGTTTCCGTGTGTTTTTTGAGTCGCAACGCAGCGCAAATACTCCTGCAAAACACACCGCCGCAAAAAAGAATAATGCGTGATTTAAACACACACATAAAACAACATAAAACAACCAGTACAAGCTGAAGCCTGAGTGGGCCCACGCCTTGATGCTGCATCTGAACTGTTAACGACCCGCGAGCCAACACTAGTGGGACAAATGCACAAAGAAAAGCAAAGGCTGGCAGTTTCCATGTTGGCACAATTGGTGTAGTCCGTGTGAGTGTTGAACAATGTTGCAGGTGGCTTAATCCGGCCTCTTACCCAATAGGCTTGGTCCCTCGCCCCGGTCCTGACCCCGGTCCTGACACTGATCAACGGACGGAGACGCACGGAGGTTGTTCCCCGAGCCATGGATGCAGCCGGAGCTTTTCAAACAGACATGCCTTGTCGAATCCCAAGAAAGCACATGTCACATGGCACTCCATCCAAATGCTTCAATTCGACTTCGTCTGGACAAAAATGGATCGTCACGTCCTCATCCGACCTTCGGTTTCGATGTGCCTGTCCCAGAGAGGTTTTAGTGACCTCATAGGACCTCACTAGAAAAAAAAACCAACTGGGACAGTCGAACAGTCGGGTTCGAACCAAACTCTGTTGGGTATGCTAAGAGGCCTTCGCTGCTGAGGGTAACCCTCCTCCCATCCAGCCACTCATCTCCCCACCCCGTTCCGTGTGCCAGGGGGGCCCCAGGGATCGTCGTCCTGGAGTCAGATCGAGCATCGCATCCAGGACTGCTTTAAGAAGCAAGCGCCACTGATGGACACCGAAAACTCACATGGAACCTGATGGCATGGACCTTTGGAAGACTATTTTCCTCTACAACCCAGTGGTTTTCAGGTTCCATGTCAATCTTCCCGAGTGTATGGACACCGCAGAGCAGCATTTTTCCAGAAACCAACCGGTTTGCAAAGACTGTGGGAGTCCGAATCGGAAAAAACAAGAAGTGATTGAAACTGAAACGATCTATATTGTATGCATATGTGTGTGTGTGTTGTTTTTTCATTATTTGGGGGTCTGTATATTCTGGAACACTTTCCCAAAAAGCCTTGTGCGTGTCGTGGATGTGAGGAGTGGTGAGTGGTGGATCTTTCCTCCTACAATCCAGTGCCCAATTGGGACATCTCGCCCAACACCGGCCAACACCGGCCCCCCACCAGCTCCTGGTGATCACCATCCTGCCAAACATGCGTGAGTGCAGCAGGATATGTTTCGTAGGATTGCTGAAAAACCTGCCTGTCCTGTTGTCCTGTCCTGTCCAACATGGGGGGGGTTTTCAGCAGGCCTAGGGTTGGATGCCAAGCTCTACCTGTCTTTGGGGCACCGGACGGTCAAGCCCTGTCGGGGTGGGATGGTTGAGTCACCTGCGTCAACGGACAGGTTCATGAGCTTCGTTGCAAGGGCTTCCATCAACGCATACACCAGTCATTAAGACCTGCTCAAGACCATTCTCCTCTACAAACAGGCCCTCTTGGTCATGATTAGATACAAGCTGGGGTGGCTTCTACTGGGATTCCACAGCTCATCTTAACTGCGGCCTTCTGAACTGAAGCGGCTTCTTTGGGATTGACATGGATGTGACGGAGTCATTGAGCCAACTCTGGGATTGTCATGGGTGCCCAAATGCCCAAATGTCTGGATCTCTCTCCATCCATGGCCTGAGCTCTACTAGATCCACTTCATCACCGCCTCCGACCCCTCACCGCCTCCCACGGACCCCGGCGCCTGCGAGGAATCCCTGCGCGCCATCGGTCGTCGACTCGTCGGTCCCGGCGGTCGATCGGTGGAGTTGTGACTTCTCCACACTCCATGGGACGAACGATATGCGATGCCGCCCCAGACAGACCCCGGCACCACCACCACACACAAGGCCGTTTTGAAGGCAGTCCGGACTGGCAGTCCCATGGAGTGTCTAGGAATGAAATCTCATGGCCAAGAAAGGCAAATCCAGAATCCAGACTGTTCTGTGTACGGTAGCTGTATGCTCCAAAAACTGCAGTGACACAATATCGTAGCTGTACCATTTGTCAGCTGTGCCCTTAGATTAATCTTGTTATGCCTAGACTTTCTCCGTGTATGCGATGGAAACACATCACCGCACTGCAGTGCAACGTAGTCCTGACCCAAAATAGATGGTACTGGTGTGTACTGGTACCCTCATATCGTGAGTTCCACAGCTAAACACAAGAGCCGTTACCATCTTGACATTTCTTGACCATATGATTGCAAGAAACCTTGCATTCTTCTCTTCATGTTCTCCACTCCTCCACCTGGTCGCTGGGTTGTTACCACCTCCATCTCCTCGCCGCTCGGTCCCGGCCATAAGCCGCGCGGTCCGGTCTCGCCCGCGAGCCGCTCGTGCCGGACCTGCCCGGCAGCTCCCGCAAGGCCCAGTCAGAACCTGATGGCTCCCGCAAGGCCCAGGGAGCGTCGTTCTCCGCGATGAAAGAAGCATCGTATCCGCGGAGGTGATGGATTTCTCACCGAGGTGATGGAAAACAGGTGAGAAATGTCTCATCCATGATGAGAGAATTCATGACATGGCTTTGGTTCAGGAGCCTTGGCTGATTCTACTAGCTGATGTCTATCTATGGTTTCTTGAGTTCTAGACTCCGGCAAGAACATGGGGTCAAATACATTCAAAGGCTAGATCTATATGTTGTGGACTCTGAGACTCAAGGCTTTTCTTCGATCCATTAGAGCAACAGTTTTTAAAGTTTAAACAATGGACAAATAAATATGTTGTGTGGTTTGACCCTGATGAGGATTTAGTGAGTGTACTATCGTTGTCCACGTCCATCACGTTGTTTCTTCTTCTCCTTCCGTCTTCCGAGCAGTTTGGAATTTGGGGAGATCCCATGACCACTCATTGACCACTTAGTGACTTTCTAACAAACTTTGATCAATCATAGTTCATATTTAGGACAAAACCTGGAGCTCCAAGGTCGTGCGCGGTTCACCTCCTGTAGGTCGTCCAATCGAACAGGTCATTGGGTGGTCAAGCAGGGTCTCTCAGAGAAAGACCCACCAGCGATCTATCCCCCAACCAGTTTCGTCAACGCCAACTCGGCTCGCACACGGCAACTCAGTTTCTTTCACCAGCCCTGTGGGCCCTCGATCTGGCATCATCTTTCGAACCGGTGACCCGCGTAGTTTTTTTTTGTCTTCCAGGGGGAAGAACATCTCCCCTTGTTCACTGACTAAGGAGCGAAAAGAGCACGGCCACCCCCAGCAGACTGGATGGTGACAAACCCTCCTCGGCACCTGCGCTTCCCTGGCACCCCACGAGCTCGGAGGATCTGCCGTCACCGCCCACGTCCAACTCGTCCCCGCCACGGCGAAAACAGATGAAAAAAGAAGGACACATGCCAGGGTTTCGTCCCCCGTCGTCCCCCGTCCTCGGACAGAATCATCCATGGAAGTGACGGAGAAAAAGAAAACCCATGGACGTCATGCTTGTTTTTTCATCCCCCGGCGGTTTCTAAGGGTTCACCCGTCCGTTTTTGATCCTTTTTGGAGGAACCCCTTGGCAAGCATGTAACTTCCAGACTGAGATATTCGTCATGCTGGGATCTGCGTCCCAATGGACGTCCCGATCATGTACGCTGGCTCTCCAACCACATCCTTGGAAGGTAGTTAAACCATGTTAAACATGCTAAACCCGCCTGGCACCTGGCATCTGCCCACCTTCGAAACAGAGGTACAAAGGTAGCCCCACGCCCTTGAGGGGTATGATCTTCCATCTTCCTGCGACTCTCGCCGTCTCTCCCACCCCCCCCAAAAAAAGGGAAAAACCATGAAAAACCCCTCTCTGGGCCCCGCGCGTGCAGCGTACCTCGCTCGCTCCGGCTCATTCGGGTTGGGACGGAGGGGTGACGGGCGGCTCCTGCGGTCCGGGAGGATTCACCCGTGAGGGTCGGCCCGATCTCTGGGACTCAGCCTGGATGGCGGGCAGCCTGGTCAATTGAGAAAAGAACATCAAACACTGCAGGTTTCAGTACATGCCATGAGCTTTTGGGTGGGGTTCAAGTGAAACACTACTTATTCGTTGGATGTCATGATGATAATGAACATCAACACTGTGATCTATCTTTGAGAAACAACTGGACATATGCGAAAATCCATGCAAAAAAAATAAACTATATACATGATACAAGGAACACGATATCTATACCTCAAGTTAGGTGGGTTCAATGACTACTGTACCAGGCTACCATCCTGCTACAGATTTGAACCGCAATTAAGCCAATACTTTCATAACGCGCAAAAACACAAATATCACCAACATCTTCTGTCATGATTGTTCGCCTAATTACCTTGCCTCAGGATGTTTGCCTATTCCACTGGCATGCAATTGAAGCAGCAAACATGTGCAGCTTTCAGGGCAAACGCCTAATTTTCGATGGTGTTTTGGTCCATGGTGGGCGCGACCGCACTGGGCGTCCCCGACGCGAGCTCCATCTTCAACGCCTCCAGCGCGGGCGCCGCGCTCCGTGAGAACCTTGGAGCGCACGCGGGCGGCTCGCGGGAGGGAGGGATTTCTTGGGATTTTGTGAAGCGGGGCTTATACCAGGACACCCGGACCAGGCGTCCATGCTTGATAGCCCCTTAGATGTGATTCGGGGCGTCCATTAACCACCCCGACAGTGGGTCCTGGTACCTACTGTATCCCACTATGGCCGCCCTGAAAAGAGTCTGAGAGCCAGCGGTGGATCCGAAGAAGGCCGGTTTGAGAGCTACGTCGTGGGGATCAGAAACGTAAAAGACCCTGACAATCTCTGAAGGTTTTCTTCTCGGTGACATGCCCATGATGGCCCCTAATCCACCCTAGAGTGCGCGCGAGAAGCACTCTGGTCATGTTTTATGCTAGGGTCCCACCATGAAATCGATATATCCAGAGGTTGAAGGACCTGAACTAGACTATCCCAGCTCGGTACCCCAGGTTGCGGTCCTAGTTCGGGTCACTGGCTACCGCAAACGTCCGGCCATCAGCCGGGCATCCCGGGCTGCTTCGGGTAGCCCGCGACGAACTGCTGCGACCCCGTCCTGGGACGGACACCCCGGCGCCGCCGGAGGGAGACGGAGCAGATCTACACAGGGGAGGGGGCGGTTTCAGGGAGGGGTCAATATACCTCAATCTGCTGTATACATGGATGTATTACATGATAATACTGTAAGGGACATGAAAGGGACATGAAAACCTGGGTGGATCAACTCGAAGTGAAGACCACTCCTGAAATCTCTTGGCATGGTGTTGTTGTCCTTTTCATCTCCAAAGCCTCTGTCGAGGTCCTCACCCTCTTGATCAACCAGACCGCCAAGCCACCCCTGCACCCCCAAACCCACCGCCTCATCATCTCCCACCCAAAACGAGCTCCAAACCCCCATTCTCTCAACGGCCCCCAACCACCGTCTGAACCCCAACAACGGCCCTTCCGCCCTGGTCACAGGTCATCGAACACCTCCACAGGTCATCCCCTGACCCTTCCACCCTGACCCCCTGACCCCCCCCAACAGAGGTTGAGAGACCTGAACTAGGACCCTGTACAGTGGTACATATATAGGAATGCGCCCCATGACTCGGGGGCTGTTGGCCCGGCACCGACCTGACTCGGTCGGTCGACCGGTCGGCTCCTCATGGGCGTCGGAGGGCCGATGGCCGTGACGTGCGTGGGGCTCGCCCAGCGCGCCGTGCGCCGACTGATCAACTCCAGGGCCTCGGCCAAACACCCAGGTTCGCCCTAGGGATCCAGTCGTGCCTTCCCAGGTGTTTGGAGACGCTGTTATGTAGGTGCCAGGAGGCTCCAAGCACCTGAGAAGGTACTTGGAGCTTTAGGGTTGGTGCCCAACCACTGGGGGGGCCTGGAATCGGCGGGATCTGTGGGGTCCTGGAACAGTGGGGTGGAAGGTGATGGCATGACGAAGGATATCCAAGGTGTCGTCAATTGCATGTTTTGGGGCAAAACAGGGGGGGCTCTAAGATCTGGAGCCAACACTCTTTAAACATATCACTTTTGTTATGTGGATTTAAGATCAAATACCTGCCACCCCAAATGGGTCTCTTTCAAGAAAAGCATCCAGCACTTCTTTCGACAGCTACTCCGTTCCCCCCGCAGAACGCGGCTTTTTCTGGCGCCCGTCTACGCCAGTCTACGCGAGGTCATTGCGGGGGAACAGCACCTTCCGCGCCTGCAAGATCTTCGTCACCGTCACCAGCAGCGCGGAGATGGGCGCCAGGATAATCCACAGCAACGAGGCTAGGAGAAGCTTCAGCCCCTGCGGTGCGCCGCTCGGGGAATGCGCAGCCGCGCGCACCGGAAAGCGCGCGGCGCGACCGGTGGCGAGCGGCTCGCGGTGGCTCTCCGTGGCGAAGGAACACTTTTCAGGAGCAAGCACGCGGCTGTTCGACGAAGATGACCATATTGTGCTCTCTTTTCGGTGGCCTTGTCATTGTAAAGGACGAGATGATGAGTCCTGAATCGAACCCCAGATTCAAACCCTGTGTGGACTCCGCGTCCGACGCCCCCCCAAGGCCCGCCCCCCTCGCCTCGCAGCAACTGCAGCGGTGGCTCCACTCCTGCGAGTATTTCCGCCGCGATGCGGAGACCGCGACGGAAGAACGCCCCGGAGCCGATCAGCTTAGCAACTGAGTCCAAAGAAATGGATTAGATTAGAAACTCACTATATCAATTGTTCAATGGTTTATCTCCATTTCTTTGGATATTGAGATGGATAATGAAAGTTCTATCAATTGGCTTTCATGTCATGCTAGTATCTGTCTGGTGCATGGTATCGTTGTACACGTCTTCTGCAAGAGGTATCCAATTATCTAATTGGATCTGTTCAAGTTCAACAGGTATCCTTCCTTGGGCCCAAGAACTTGTTGGAAATGACCTATCTATAATATATATTTTAGAATAGTTTAAAATATTTTGGCTGTGGGATGTTGTGGCTCAATAGCAGAATAGCAGAATATATTACCTTGATTGACTTACCTGGAAGGTGGACCAGGGCTTGAGTGTTTGACATGTTTTGACCCATCACCATTTGTCTCATCGATTCTGGAGTTGTCTTCACCCATCTTCACCCTGTAGTGCTTCTTCGACTCACCCAAGCAGCGTCTCCCAACCCCACCCAAGCGCATTCTTCAGAAGGGCTTGTTGGGGACCATCCTGGATGTATAGTTTTTGCTGGGAATCCCCACTCATTTACATGACCCGGACCTGGTCATGAGCTCAAATCCTCGCTCCCAGCTCGCCTTCCACCGCTGGCGGAGGCGCAAAGCCAGCCGATAGCCTCGCGAGCCACCATCGCGATGACGGGAGAGCGAACCGCTGGAAGTCCAAAGACAGGGCCCCCCGTTTCGGGGTGGTGACTGGATACCCCTTAACCCCTAAGGAATTATACACCCTTTAGGGGGGCGCTGGTATATTTTGCCCCACTGAAGAAAAGGAAATTCCCTTTCGGGCAACCGCACGACCATTTTCAGTCTTGGACTTCCAGGGGGAATGAATGAAAATACACCACTATCAGTCCACCCTCTTTGGACTTTAAATCTCGAGCCTAATTTGGGGGGAGAATGGCGGAGAGGGGGGGGTTGGAAAGTATGCGCTTGGACAGATGGAAGCACCGACTTGGGATCAGAGGATTTCCTCCTCCCCAGTGTGCTTTAGATTCATGGTCATCTACGGTCTCTCCCAAAATTCGAGCAACCTTCCCTCCAAAAATCATGGAAGTGGATGGCACGGACCCAGCAAAGACCTTCCTCTTTCCATCAGGGTTGGTCCACTTCCATTGTTGGAGGGAATTCCAATGCACAGCCAGTTTGGGCCAATCATACAGTCTGACATGATGCACCTTTCGCGGCTGCGCGAGCACGGAGCGGACGTGTAGACGGGCACCCGCGCCGTGCCAGGGGAGGCCATAGTAGATGGCCTGCCGTGCACGGCATGACTAGGAGCACTGGCTTCCCACCGGTTCCGACGAAGTCTTCCAGGATCAAAACTGGTCAATTCCCCCCCAACACGACCTGGAAGAGGGACTGCCATATTATATTGCTGAGGAGGCCACGGGTGGTTGAAATGGGATCAATGTATAGACTAGCATAATGAGATTCCAATGATTCCATGTTACATGGATCTGGATGGTCTGGGTGGTTTTTAATGTACTTAAAGTCAGCTCTCCCACTCCATTCATCCAGCTGTTCATCCAGCTTTTCGGCCCTTTGGGCCGGAGGAAAGCTCGGCGTCATTCATGATCCACCACTTGTTAGGGAATAAACAATGCATACTAAAATGAGTATCAGCTAGTATCAGTTATATTGTGTGGATGTCCAGGGCTACTTGGTTGGCGTGAGAGAACAATAGGGTGAAGCCGCAAAAAAAGAACGAAAAAAGTGAAAGTGAAGATCCGATCGATCACCATACGCAGAATAAAGATCCAGTCAAACCTGGTCCTGAACACCTCCATTGAGTCGTGTTTTTTTGTATATGAACTCCAGTAAAATGAGGTCTTGGGCTGGTAGGGTGAATATTAAGTATCAAACCAGATCAAAGTAGTCTTAAATGATTCATGTCTCAAGAATAACCCCCACTCCAGTAAGTGGTGAGCATGACGAGTCAATCCACTCGCCCCAGATGGCCCCAGGGTCTTACTTTTTCAGCCGCACCCATATCAGGATGTTGGTTCCTTCGTACATATTCCTGGTGCCTCTCAGACTTGCAAAGTCGCTGGGACGCGACTCATCCCAGACCCCGATCGACTCATCTCATCCAGTGGCTCTCCGACCCGCACCGATCCCCTCCAAGTAGGGAGGAGGCATTGTCCTCCAGCTTTTTTTCGATCTAATGATCATGGTTATGGAAGAAGTCTGGTTCATTCACGTTCATTCTTCAATCTTCCAAGAAGAAAGCAAACCTCCCACAACATCCACAACAGCACTTTCCCAACCCAATTCATCCATCCATCTGTCAGTCTGTCACCACCGTCACCAGCTGTTCACTATCTTCACCTGCTCTCACTCGCCTGTGCCAGCGACTGGCGCACCCGGGAAGGCTCCCGCAGCAGTTGATCGGGCACTTGCCCCGTGACCGCTCGGCAGCCTTCCTGACTCCGGGTTCGACTCCCGCAGCGCATCGGGCCGACCGCCGCCACGGACGCCCCACGGACGCCGCCACGGATGCGGTGGATAGGCGGACGAAGCCATGCGTTCATGGGCGTGAAATGGGCGTTCGGGGGGCCCAAACCATGCAGGATGTGCCTTGGAGTCTTGAAGGAGAAATCATGTGCCGGATCTTCAAGACCTGCCATTTCAGGAGTCTGAATTCAGGGGTTCTTCAGTTCTTGGAGTCTGAATTCCGGCTTCTTCAGGCTTCTTCAAACCTTCTCGTTCTCGTTCATCGTCCTTGCCGCAGCCCGCGCCGGCCCGCGCCCGCGTCCGCTGAAACCCACGTTCCATTGGTGCGCCTTGGAGACGATGAGGAACATCCCCCGGAGCGACGTGGTGAAGGCAGCCAGTCCCAGCAGGAAGGCGGCCAGGACCACCTGCGAGGTCGGAACCCCTGACCACTGGGGGGGTAGCAACCTGCACCGGAGTCTCTGGGCATCTGGGCCGGAGGAGGCGGGAGCAGGGTGGTAGGACCGAAGCGCTCGAACGAAGCGGGTGATGAGCTTTTTCAAGCTGGTTAGCCTTTTGGGGATTGGAGACATGTCGATGATGCTTGGGAGGATCTCCTGCTGAAAGGAATGTAGATGCCAGGCGACCCTAATGGATGTCCTTTGAACCTGAACGGATGGATTGTAGGCACACCTTCTAATGTCAGTAAGTAAGCATGCCTTTGGGTAGTGTGGTTTACATGCCCCAAGTGAAACACCAAATCCAGCACCCACATATACCAGCACCAAAGAGTTCGGGTGGTTTGTAGACACCCCTTTACTGTATGTATTTATATACCATATTTTACCATCACATCCAATCACCAGGTCTCCTTGGATGATGGACGCAACCTCTTAGGAATGCCACGGCCACCAAGGCCCTCAAAAATGCATTTGCTTGGGAATGCTTGGGCTGTCAGTCTGCACCCCGTTTCTGGTGCTTGGTCCGGCCATGCGGTCCGGCCATGCTTGGTCCGGCCGATGCCCCTCGCCTTCGGCTGCAACCGGGTGATGCCCATCGCACCCAACTCCGCGGCACGGAGGAGCTCCTCGAGGCCGAACCCCAGCCAGGTGGGAAGGCCTTCCCTGGATGGTCCAAAAACACCAGGGGTGAGATGAGTCAGGCTTGAGGTGTTTTTTCTTGAAAGAACCCGAAAACTTGGGCGGTGCTGGCACTGGGCAAGTAGTTGAGTGGGAAAAACATTGGAAGTTGCAAGTCAAATAGTTAATTACTGTTTCTACTGGGGAATCCGTTGAATTACGTACAGTAACGTGAATCTGTTTCTTGATGAGATGGAGATCCTTCACAATCACAGGTTCGCTTTTGTATGCTTTTGTTGCCTTCATTTGAGTGGTCATGTCGCTATCATGTTCCCAGTTGACACTGTTGCTGCAAGTAGCTTGGGGCCAAAACAACCACCCATGCATTAAACAGGACCCATCGCTTGGGTTCGAAAGCTCCAGGCCCACATATTGTTCAGGGCGGATGGATCTAAGTCACATTTTGCATGCCCTGCAGGTTTTGTATCGTTGCACGTGCTGAGGCCCTATTGTTCTCACTTCGTCTCGTTCCAGTGTGCACTCAGCTAAGGGTAGCCACTACTGTAGCCACTGCATGCCGCCCACATAGCATGAAACAAGGCCAAAAATAAAACCTTTCTGGGACGAATCCAAGTCAAAATGCCCAACCTCCAACCTCTTTGTGTCTCAACACTTTTGCACCCCTCTGGCACGTGCTCCAATTTCCTGGTGCGCAGTTTAATTGGGAGCCGTCGAACTGGAGGTCTCCCTGCTGGAATACACACCCAAGCGGAATTAGGATGACGTTGGAGGTGGGCACCAGCGGCTCGCGAATTCTCCTGTGCTTTACAGCTCAGAGAATTCCTTGAAGAGGTTGCTGGAAGTTGTTTCAATTACAGATATCCGCCGACCCCGGCCTAGCTGATTCCTAGGCGGGGCGGCGCCTGGTGGCCTCCAGACAGCCCTGTCTCTTTCCGTGCACGGGTTGAACGGTTGAATGTTGGAGGCCAGTCCTCGCCCAAGCGCCGGGGATTCCCGATGAGGAGTTGGCTGCCAAAGAGCTTCGGCACCTGCGAAGGGGGGCGGAGCTCATGGCCCAGGTGTCGTCTTCGTTGAGTTGAGCGTGCGTTTTTTTTTTTTGCATGGTTGGAGGAGACATGGATCGGTGATTTTGGGAGTGAATAACTCATGGGTTGAGCTTGGCCCAGGGTAGACTGATGACCCAGGGTGATAACTAGAGGGGTGGCACTAGAGGGGTGGGATCATTGGGTTGAAGCAAAACCAACAATCTACAGCATGAAATCATGGGTTATCACGGTCATCATTGAGTCATCATCCCAAAAGAAGACGCCACGGGCGTCCCGGTCGATGTTCCCTTCCAATTGGCTGGACCCAGCCACCGGGGCCTTCCAGGTCGGCAGTTCTTTCAGATGTTCCGCAGGAACCGATCCGTGGCATTTGGACCCCCCCCCAGTCTTTTCAAGCGAAGAAAAGGAACTTTCCAACATAACTATTTATCTATCGTCATTTCTGGCACATCTTAGAGTCAGATAGATAGCTGCTAGATCTTCATGACTCATCCCGCATGACTCGTCCACTTTGCTCGATGAACATCGACCCCGTGGAACGAGTCCGGGCTTCGCTTCACCTCCAACGTCGAGGGAGACGAAGGTCCGTGGATCTTCAGGGATCCATGATCCATGACTTGGCAGATCTATGGCTTGGCAATGGGAGAGTTGGATTGAGTTTGTTCCAAAGACTATTTGATGATCCCAAATCCCATGGTGTTAATATGTCTTAATTAATTGGATCATTGGTCTTCCATTGTTCTCTCCGACTCCGACTCCTCCGAACCTGTGCACCGGTGGTGGTTTCCCACCCGACTGGTCCCATCCGGTGCGGAAGAGAAAGGCCACTGCCCAAGATCATCCACCCCGGACATGGAACTGCTACTTGCATATCTATATATATATACTGGCATGAGGAGATGTAAATGGGGTGATTGCATATGTGCAACCTAATTCATCCTCTTTCTTTCCAAATCAAAAGAAAGGTCGTCCCGCGGACTTTAGGCGCCTGTTGTAACACCGCGCGGCTCAACTCCCGCAGCAAGGTGTCCGCAAACTCTTCCGTGCCGTTGGACAAGAAGCGCTCTCGAACCTGGGCACTGTCGTTGGAAAAAGTCCCATCGCCTAGGCACGATCAGGAATAGACCATGTGTAGCCGAGAAAGGCCAGGCCCCGGGGTGGTAAGGGAAATCAATGTAGACATATAGATGATATTCCATCATTATTCCATACATGGATGGGGTAATCCAGCTGTCATGTGGAATCTTCAGTAGATCAACACATCTCCAAAGAGACATTCGTTCGGTTCAAGGAGCCTGCCAATTTTCAAGCACATGCGAGGTTTTGGTATGGCCGACTGGCAGTGATGTCAAGCAAGTTCTCGGCACACCGTCAAGCTCAATTCGTGGCGAGATGATGGATCCCGCTGCCCAACTAGGAAGCCTGAGAAATGGCAGCCCAGTGCCTCTGCTTAGACTTTGTCGTTTTGGAACACGGCATCTTCATTCATTTGTAGATCAATATTGCTGGATGCGCCAATCCAAGACCTGAAAACTCCTTGCTAACTCGTGACGGCTGAGTAATTCCAACTTCTTGTGATCCAACCCCTGATCACCCGCAGAATGGGGGCACATCACGAACTTCAGGAAATTCAGGGTGGTTTTCTGTCAATGAGCCAACTTCTGCGGCCCCAAACGCTTGGTGATTCCTTTCCGAGGAAGGCAACCGGTTGTCCACGAGGAGTCAACAATCTCTTCCCATACTCGTTGGTACATGTCCCAGGCGCAACCCAGAACCCAGATGCACCTACAGTATCGCTGCAAGAATTCAACAGTTGATCTTTAAAGCCCGGAGCAAACCAGCGAGCTTAATGCTCCGATGGTTCTTGACATGGACATGTATCTCTGATCAGAGAAGACGTATGTACAGTTCTCATTGCGCGTCCAGAGGCACAAAGGCACTCTGCTGAGCGGTGCAGCAGGGCTCTCGTGGCTTCATGCTTCATTGCCAGCCTCCCCTAAGGCCTCTGCCTTTGAGCTGACCACGAAGCGTGGGCGATGCACCTCCTGTTTGTGGTTCAATGATGTTGAATGGTGTACTGTACCCTGTTGCTAGATGTGAGCATCGAGCCATGATTGGAACTGCCTTCAGCATCGAGTCGGATATCGAACCACTGGCAGGCAGTTGCACTTAAAGTCAAAACACTTCCCCACACGTGCATTCCACTGGGTAAGTGGTCAGTGCAGAACCGATTCTACTAGATTCCTGCAGAACCGAGTTGCCTCATGTGGCAGGGTTTCTTGCAACACAAATCCGGAACAAATACTGTTTTAAAGTGCTTTGCATATGACCCACCAAATAGACCACCTAACGCGTGGAGAAATTAGAAAATCATGGATGGGTGCTGGAAGCCTGTACTGTATATGATCCCAGGTCGGTCTCTTCCGTCACCGATTTTCATGATATGAAATCCAAGGTCGGTCTCTTCCGTCAGAGTCGAATCCATCTCAAATCCGCTTGGTCGTGCAGACTTTGTTCATGTCATGTGGTTTCTAATCTTCTCAGGCACCAAAATGTCCGACATGAAAAAGCATACGGGGTTGAAGGGTTGAACTCCGGAGAGACATGTTCAAATCACCTTTTAGGTGATCCTGGAACCGTAGAGATCAAAAAGCGCAAAAAAGTTCGCGCAGGGCTCGCGCACTCTGAGAAGCTCGACTACCAGAGGCCCAAAATGTGGGGTCGTTCAACCTGGAGCCCTATCCTCCATTGCTATTAGGTTGGAGGCCATTGCTATCGGGTTGGAGGCCATTGCTATTAGGTTAAACGAAAGACCTGGAAGAGGTAGAATAGGTCTTCCGATTCTTGAGACATCAAGACCTCGCCATTCGTTCGGTCGCTCTAGGTCGCGAAGTTTCCATGTGAAGTTGGGCAAGATCAATTCCCAATCACTTCAGGAAAGTGTCCATGTTCATCCATGTTCAAATACCTTCGAAGACCAATCTGATTGGGCGCCCGATATTCGGTCCTCTCGCCGAAACCACTCCAAGGTGCCACAATCCCTGTAGTTCCTCCCCTTTTCGGTGGAGAAATGCTATAATTTAATTGCTGTCATTGAAAGGCGGCAGTCAGCCAGTCTGACAGCTCTGCTGACATTTGACAGTTCAAAAAGTTGAGTCAACCAGCTTTCGCAGTCTGGTGAATTGGGGCCCGTTGAAACTTGTGCAACATCGCATTCAGCCGGGAAGAGAAGACCTCCAGGAGACCAGTTTCAAGATTGTCCCATAGTTCTTTTGTGCTCGTGGGCAGACCCGGACAGTCCGCAAGGACAACAACCAGTGAACGCAATGAAGGTGGTAAAGCAACAAACCATCTCCTTTCTGTGTTGACTTGATGTTGCTCTTCTTTTGTGGCTCTTCCCTGGCTCACCTTCGGCAAGTTGAAAGACTGCTGTCCATCGGCACCCTGGAAGTAATCAAGTGTTTGTCATCTAGATCTCTGGCTGCCGGTCTGTCATTCTTTGAGTGGAAAGGAGCTCATGAACTCATGAACTTCCATGACCAAAACATGTCTAAAAATATGTCTGACTCCCGCAATTTTCCTGGAAAATAACGGTTACACGTTCTCCACAATGGTTGAGTGGAAGGTCGACCCATCCGCAAAAAGGCTTGGGCCGCTGGTCCACTTTTCGTCAGATTTCCAGGGAGCATCTCCAATGGTGGAGCTCAAGGGGGGTGTGCCATGACACGATGCGCACGGAACGCGATCATCCCGAGTTTGCCGCTCCGAGCAACCCGTGTCTCTGCGCCTCATCAGTCCAGAAGAGGACGTGTGTGTCACGAGACTCTTCTGGCCTTTGACTGAGAAGCATAGCTGCTGGCACACTTTCCCTTGTGATCTCTCTTTTGGGGATCTGCCCCGAACTTCATCAGCAGCATGATCATCTCCCAGTTGCCTTCTCGAGCTGCTTCGTGCAAAGGATAGGAGCGTTTGAAGCCGAAGCAAGAACACTTGGGAGCATTCAAGTCATCGCCTAGGCTCGATCCCGAGACTCCCGATCGCCCAAATGAAACCAATGTGTGTATATACAAATCCGGGACTTCGAACCCGTGAAGAACCACGGACTGGCCCTTCCGGTCTTGGCGGCCGGGCCGGGCTCCATGTTCCGAATTGGCGAGCCCATCCCTGGGAGGTCTCCCCCAGGGTACGTGTGATTCGAACCACCAAGGGGGTTTGAAGAGAAGACCGTGGTTTCGAGGTGCTGACGTATGATCTGCATATCATCCGTAGCTTCTCCAAAAATGGTCTCTCACTAGGTATATCATGGTGATCCTTGCCTAATGGATTCCCAAGTGGAGGAGATCAACAAATGACATATGCAGGACCATCTGGACAGCGAGAATCACCTGGCTTTCATGTACACTATGCAGACGCATCAAGCCAGGAGGACGCTTGCACAAATAGTCCCACCTTAAGATCCATCGCCAAGGTCACTGAACTGGTGCGACTCTAGGAAATGTTTCGTCTTCTGCCAATCTTGCTCCTGATCCCCCCCCAAACCCAGCGCCAGCATGGTTGGGACGCGCGGGATGGATGGAGGCCAACATCGAGGTTTGTTTGGGACCGGGACCGAAACACCGGATCTTGGAGGATGCCGTTACAGTAATACAGAATTGGTTCTTAGACATTGAGACACTTCAGTGATGATAGACCTGTTTCAGGATGGACCACAGATCCGAAGGCATTCCAATCTCCAATCTCCGGGGACCTGATTCGCTTCTCTATCAAACATGGAAGAAACGGCGAAGCTATGCTAAATGCTCAAATGCATCAGCCATCCGACTTGCCGTGAGGCACCCTGGTGGCCCAAGTGTAATGTAGACTCTTGAATTAAACAACAACGCATTTTGACTGAACAACCTCTTCATATGCGGGGTTGAAATATGATCAAGAGTCTACATTAGGAGCCCTCAACCCGGGAGAGCAGCTCTCCACTTTTATACTCTTCAAGCTTTTGCTCTGGAAAGTCCGTCTCGACAAATGCCCAGCCCAAAACACTTGCATGGGCCGGATAGACCTGGCGACCGCCATGGCAGGTTCCGTCCATGAAAAATGACTCCAGACCGGATGGATTTCTACGGGATGCCTTCGACCGGGAAGACTCCGCGTTTTTTCGGCGACCAACTTGGCCTGATCGGTGGATCGATGGAAGAAAACGAAAAGCTATTGTCGGTGGCTGAAGCTTGAAGACTGAAAACTCAATGCTTTGAACAACCCACGACCGAGGATCTCAGAGGGTTTATGGCTCTGGGACCCCAAGTCTGTTTCTCGGCATGTTTCTCGGCACCTGATGTGGTTTAGATGGGGGTGGGTGTACCGTCAGTTATAACCGCCATATCCGCGAAGCTGAAGATGGCCCGGTTGTTGCACCGCGTTCGGTCCTTTGCAAGGCCTTTTTTCACGAAACTTCGACTTCAGCGAAAAGACATGCGTTCGACTTGGGCCGAATATGATCGAATAGCTATAGAATAGCGACTACCCAGGACACCGGTGGCACCGCGGTAGACAGTAGGCGGCAAATCTTCATGAAAGTCTGCATGTAACTGTATGTCCATGAATCCATTGGGAAACCCCCAAAAATACTACATAACTTACATAACCCCTTCTTGTATCTCCAATGCGTCACCTTGAAAACCAATCTTACCAAGCTGCCAGCTGCACCTTCTGCTTCAGCTCCTGGCACTGTTGAACATCGTTGTCGTGTGACGTGCGGTTTCACTACTCCCTCGATTAGGGTTAAAGGTCACAAACCAGGACCAAACCGGAAAACATACACACTCAAACTTCGCCCTGGGTTCCCAGGTTGGGTGCCCACTGCGACAGTCCGAACAAGGCTGCCACATTTCAGACTTGAGAATTGCAGGTCCCAGTGCAAGTGCATACAGTAACCTGATGCAACATGCAGGAGTACCAGCCAGCCCGGTTGCAAATGGATGGATTTGAGATTGAAGGCACCATCAAAAACCGTTTACACTCCTGGACGAATCTTTAGGTGTCAGGTCCTCTTGGCGTGTTTGTGTAGATAAGGGCAAAGGCATAAAGTCAAAACAAACAAAAGGATATGGGCTGAAGATGGAAAACCCAATTGACTGGCATAAAAACGAAACGAAGAATTCGACTGAGGAATGCAACCTGGCACGGTTTTGACCACGGTCTTGTTTGGGATAGAAGATGAGAGTACACTCAGATCGGATTCTGCAGGCCTTCTGCAGCCTCCAAACATCTCCAAACACACTTCTACAGTCCCTAGGGATCCAGGTGCCAGGAGGGTCCAGTCGTACCGAACCTGAGGTTCCGTACGACTGGATCTCTAGGGAGTAAGGACCCCCCCAGTCTGAACACGTGGATGTCGTGGTTGACCGAGTCTGGTCACGTCCGACGGAACCACAACTGGACGAAGGTGTCCAATGGAGATCCATGAGTAGGGTAGTCCACTTTGATGGAAGGCGCTGGATATATAATATATTATACCAGGACCCTCCAAGGGGTGCCCTGTCTGGAAGCCTGTAGGTAGTGTGGGGTAGTTCATTGACCCCGACAGGAGTGCAGAGGCATGAGGCATCACAGCCAAAGAAGACCGAACGTGAAAACCAGACACCAATCGACCTACTAGGGCTCGGCAAGCGCCTCGCGGCGCATATGAAGAGGCCCCAAAAGTGTTGGATCCGCAATAGTGCTGAAATGTGCTGAAACTGTTTGAGGTCTATGCTGGACCATTTTTTGTGGGGCCGTCCACTGAAACAATGTCCGGACTAATGGTCTGGGCATGCATTCATGGAGTATCTGGGGGTTGGGAACCAGGGGTGTCCACGAAAACCACCCACGACTCCAAATGGTATCAATTCTCCAAACGCCACACCCGGCGCTCGCCCAAACGTCGCTGTCTCGATTGGGGCCGCCGATGTGCGCCTTAGCCTTCTGCCTCCTCAGCTCCTCCGCTCTGGCTTTTTGGCGTTGCAGCGCTTGGCGGATCTGCTCAGGTGTACTCTGTACATAGTCGTCCGCGCACATCAATCTGCAGCGCCCGCCCACCTGGACCGCAACTTCTGGGCACCGTGTTGTTCGGGTTCATCGAAGCCCAGGTAGTTCATCCCAAAAGCAATGTACTGATACCCTAGAAGTCCAAAGAACAATAATAACAATAAGTTCCATCTTAGATTCCCTTTCAAGAATCCCAAAAGATCTAAAAGCGTTGCTTCTTCTCAACATCGTCTTGGACTCGCGGGAGAAGTCCATCGTCTTGGGCCCTTCTAGGGTCTTCGGAGGGTTGAAACCCAACACCACAACCGCCCCATGGCTGAAGATGGCCTCCAAAACCTTCTTGTGGGTGGCCTCCATGGTTGAACGACTCGTACACATCGCAAGATTCTTGACAAAGTCATGGCCTCTTCAAACCTCCCGGAGTAAGGTGACTTCAATAAAGTTTGAAATGGAGATCAAAATCATACCAGGACGTTAAGGCCAAGGGGTGTCCATGAACCACCCAACTTGTGGGGGTCCTGGTAGAGAAACACCCCGTGGTGGTCTTCATGCTGGCTCCCGTCCGGACGGCTGATTCCCGCTTCCGCCCCACGGCGTTTCCCCCCCGGCCTGCTCAAAGGCGAAGTGGGTCATGGGGAGGGCGGCGTGAAGGTCAGTACCGGCACCACCGTTTCGGTGAGCCGACTTGGCTTAAAACACAAAACGCCTGCAGAACATGTTCGATTCATACAGCATGGCGCAGTCGATCAAGTGACAGCGGCGCGCGACTCGGAAGACACGGCGTGGCATTGCCGGCATGACCACCAAAAAGACCGCCGAAATGGGGTCGAACACTCAAACACCCAGCTCTGCGGAGATTGAAAACCTAGAGATTGCGGGAATCGGAGGTGTTTTCCTGCCTGTTGAATGATTGGCGCGATCCTTTCTCTTGGAAAGGGTCTCTGGGCGCATCTGGCCAAGTCATGAATCCACTCCTGACAAACGCTACAGTCAAACGCTAGCAATTTGGTGAAGAAACTCTCTGCAGCCCTCTGAATAAATACAAAAAGATTGGTTCTGCGCCTTGACACCCACCCCAAAGGTGAATCCTGTGAGTGGGCGCATGGCAGCTCAGACTCTCCACTACACAGGTCTCCAAACCTCGCAATCCATCAGATCCACGTCCAGATCTGTACCCCCCTTCACCTCACCTCCAGCCAAGGACTCCCTCCAGCCAAGGCGCGGTGAAGTCCTTCACGGACCAACCGCGCCAGCCGAAGACGAGCTTCCCCAACATCAGCCGCGCCTGGTCTTCCCCAACAGCGCGGACCCGCACGGACCCGCGCTTAAGAGGATGGAGGGTGGGAGCCCGATGCTTGAGCTCAAAATGGAACTCACGGGTGGTTAGCAGATCATCTACTACAGTATACAGTATATACGTATGATGTTATTTGGCCACAGGCATCTTTGCCAGAGTGAGACTCGTGGCCATTGGCCCTACCTTGTTGAATTGAAAGGCGAAAAGACCTGGGATGGTAAAATGAGGCATGTACAAAGCTCACAACGATATATATATATATAAATATATAAATATAGATAGCATTCCAAGGAAACAGAAGAGTCATCAATCACAAGCACCAGTATAACTTTGCAAACAGCAACTTGTTCGCAAAGAGTGAAATAGAAAGAAAGGACATACACATGAAAGGAATAATGAAAAGTATATTAAAAAGGAATATACAAAGGGACATCATATACGTCAAAGGCCTTGGGCTCTTCACACAGTGTTTTCACAAAGAGGAGCTTGTTCACAAAGAGAGAAGACACTGGAATAACACGGCGTAACCGCGCTTCGTCTTTTAATGGATGTGCATATAATAATGTTCATGCATATTCTGAAACTCTATCGTTGGCCGATCTTCACGCAAACAGCTTGCCACATCCATTGGCAGTGGACTCACCTCAGGTCCTCTCAGAGAACTTCCACTGAACCAACGATACCCCTTGGCCGAAGGACCGAGGACCACGGCCGCTTGGCTACGTGAGGGGGCGCCACCGGTAGACCGGTGTCTATAGAGTCTAGATGTTGAAGGGTTTGTTTTTTATTAGTTTTGTTGTTCATAATGAGTTCTCGTATTGTTTGTGCAGGTCGTCTATGGATGGCAATTTGATGGAACATAACGGACAATGTGCAATGAAAGTTCCTTCTCAGCTGTCCACCCAGATCCAGAGAAAAGTTTTCGAGGAACAGACTTGACTCCGGAGCCAACATGCATGGAATTGCTGGAATAAGCTCTGGAGACCAATAGGACGACAGAGATGCGACCGGGAGAGGATATCAAATTTTGCTATGAAGGAGAGGTTCATGACAACCATTTGGACATCCATGATTGAAATGTCTTGGAAAGGCAAAGCAAACAATAAAGGACAGAGAAAGAGAAACAAAACAAATGCCTTCCCAACACTGGTCCTGTAAAGTCCTTTTTTGTGTACTCTGCAAAATGCATGGATCCTGTTTGGTTATTCCTTTTCGAGCCACCTGAGAGCTAATCTTTTAGATGCGGTTTTCTCTAGAAAGTGGAGGGGTGCACCCTCGCCTTTTTTGTTCCAAAAAATAATGTCCACTAAATTCACTATTTCACCCCCCTTCTCTCTTTTCTAGACTTCCTGCTTAGGAAACTTTTGATTTTGGGTCCCTCAATTTGTGCTTGTCTTAAGACACCCCATTCTGGGAGGTAAATACACAGGGATAAATTGGGGACATCCGACTTTCTCAAGTCGAGCCAGCTTCAAAAACCGTAACGTCGGGAACCCACCAAACGCGGAACCCACCGCGCTGCCGGTTGAAGTCGTCTCGCGACCCACCCTTTTTTGACCGTGAGCAACCCTGAGCTCGCCTGGTGCACGTCCAAGGGCAAGGTCAGTCTCAGTAACATCCTCAAATAGCAAACCGCTCGCAAGAACCCTCGCGAACCGCGAAGACGGCCATCAAGCGCGAAAAATTTTGCCCTCCAGCATTGAAAAAAGAAACACCTGGACCTGGACCGTCCACTCCCACGCCCTGGACATGTCCCAGCAGTTCCAGCAGTTATCTTGTAAGACATGTGACATGTTGTGTTTTTGTCGATGTGGACAGTCGACGATAGGACAGTCTTATTCATCCGGTTCCTGGAAGACGGCTGTGAAGTCTGTGGAACATCCTATGAACATCGATGAAAATCGATGGAGATCGCGTGAAAGTCATGTCATGATTTTGGGATCGCAAGACACACCTCGACCTCTTCAGCGCCTGTGGCTCCGTGGAAAGCCTCCCATGTTCAACCGTGTTCCATGTCGCCTGATCAAATCATAGCTGAATGTACCACGCGAGAATCACCACACCAAGCAGAGGGGCCTCCCAACCCGTCAGTCTGATCACTCCGCCAGCTGAAACGTGCCTGTCCGTGCCTCACCGTGCCTCACCCATGCTCCAGAAACGATGCTCTCCGTGCTCTCCGAGGGGCTCCAAGGCTTGAAGCTCTTCATCTCTGTCTGATCTCCATGATCCCGTCCCCGTGAAGCTCCTGAGGGCGGGTGACAGCAGTCGTCCGCACCCGACGAGAGGGGGAAGCTGTGTTGATTATTGTGGGAGCAGCACCTGGAGACAAAGGCCGGTCGTCGTTCTGTTCAGCCGGATCGGCCCGGGTGTTCGCGGGCCGAGGTGTGCCCGAACACGGCATGCCGAGTGTTCGGCATGCCGAACACGCCGAGAAGTGAAACGTGTCTTGTATGGAATAGTTACGTATACATTTGGCCAACCAACGGGTGCCCTGGAGTAGGAGACCTGTTGACGTAGGGTAGGGTAGAACGCCAGGACACCCCGGTCCAGGATCACGGCTTCCTTTGGGCCAATGGGTGTGGAACTCTATGTGGAACTCTTCAACGCCTTCAGTCCGGATGGTCTGGGATTTTTCATGGCTCACGGCTCCTGGAGGGGGTCTAGAGGTGAGAAGGCCGCAGCTATCCCTGCAGGGAGTCCAACTTATGACTTGTGAGTGTCACAAGTCTTGTCCAGGGCCCTACGAGACACTATATAACGGTGTCACGGCGTTACAGCTCCATCCATTCCCCTTCACATGGGCAACGAACCAAAATGCCAGGGGCGCCCGGCACCATCAAAAGGCGGGAGTGTTCTACCTCATGACTCCTCACACCTTTTTCCTTCGAACCTAGCAGGGGTTCCAAGGGAAAAGCGTCCAACACGTACCGATACCACGTCACGAGGCTTCCATTCGTTTCCCGGCCCGAAACACCGCCCCTCATCCACCGGACGCCGGATTGGGCGTCATCCGCGGTCGAGGCGCAGCGTCATCACGCAACAGATGCGCCGCAAGAGCAGCTCACGGATCACCACGGGGGTCCGATCTTGGAAGTCCTGGCGCTCCGATTCACGAGTTGGCGGGCGCGCGTGGTCGGCGTGCGTGCGTGCCAGGCGCGTGCCAGGATTCACTTGGGTTGAACTCCAAAAAGACTGGCCTAATGCCAGAGGTCTCTGTGTGTGTGTTGTGTGCTATACTACTATATATAATAGTAGGGTCCCTATTCAGAGCTCTCAACCTCTCTTGGTAACCTAGTTGGAAAGCAAGGTCTATCAGCTGAAATTTGAAACCACTGATGGTCCATCTACAGGTGTACTCAGCAAGTATTGACTCGGAATGGGTCATTATGCCCAGGACATGGCAACACGCCATGTAAGTGTTGGAGCCACACCCGACATTGAGTCTGGATTGAAGAGAATCAGTTTTCTGTTGCAACGAGTGTTTGAAGCCACGGGCGAAATATGAATTATAGTTTAGAGTCCTCTCTTTGTTTTGAAACAAGATAAGGGTGGTGAGCACCACATCCTTAGAACCGCAACAATGTGACCACACTCTTTGGGGAGTTTTTCCGAACAGCTGATGCCGTCAACTCGTCCTCTGCCGTGGGATCCGTCACACAGCGCGGCTCGCCTGAGATCCGAGGCATTCGGCGTCTCAGGCAAGACCGCTCCCGGGGTACATCCATTTGCCGTTGACCCATGTTTACACCATGAACATGACCGTGATGGATCCTGATGGTAGGTCACTTCATTCCTACGAATTCCATCCATGGATCGCTCTCATACGTTCGCACCTTGCTTTTTTTTCCGGGTCACCTGGCACGGTTTCACGATGGCAGGAACGAGTCTGCCGTCTTTTGCCTGGTCTAAAGAGGAGCTCGGAAGTCCGGGTGGTGAAAGACATTGGAAGGGAGTCGAGGAGTCGAGGACCGCCCTGTAAAAGGGGACCTCCTAGCTGTTTCGCCCCACCGAAACAGCAGGTCCAATGTACGACCCTCCCCAGTACCTTAGAAAAGGGGACCTCCGGTACCAAAGAAATCCAGTACCGGTGCCATCCTGTGCCATCCTGTGCCATCCTGTGCCCATGGTCCAAGTTACCACCTCAAAGGTCCTTAATAACAGTTCATGTGTACTATTAACAATTAATGTATACCCTAGAAGTCCAAAGACAATATGTTGACCGACTGAAGTAAAGGAAAATTCCTTTTCCGGCCACCTAATGACCATTCTTTGTATATAGTCTTTGACTCCCAGGCTGTACATAGTCACCAAATCTAAATACATCTAAGATAATTACCATTGGTTCTGACAGTGATCAATACAGCCCCCCTTTATAGCGAGGACTCATCTGAACCGAGGACTCATCCGGACGTCTTCCGTCTGCCGAGGAGCAGAAGCGCAGATCCGCCAGGGCCACATTGGGCTCGGCATTATTCTCCTTGGGCGGGTTGAAGGCAGATCACCCCATGACACAACAAAGAGAGGTTTGGGTTTGACAGGTTTGGACCAAACCATTAGGAGGTTTGGTAAAATCCGGAAGAATAAGACGGGGGGTTGAAACACCTCGGGACTTTCCAGCTCCTGTGACAACAATGTGACAACATGATATCCTCACAAGTCCGAAGACATCCAAAGACTATCTTTTGCCCCGAAGTAAAGGAAGTTCCGTTTCTCGATTCTTTTTGGATCACCTCAATGACCCATTTCTTAGGATTCACAGAGTCTTGGGCCAGTCGCCTGTTTGGCCGTTCCGGTTTCGGCTTCACCGAACCCCCTGAAACTCGACGCGCCCCAGCCAAACCGCCTCCACCGAACCTGCCGCCGGCGTGTCGACGCGCGCGATACGGCGCCGTGTCTGTGTCCTCTGCATCGAGCGCATTGGCTAAATGCTGCATGTGACTCTCCTGCCGCTGTGTGCCGCTCTTCAGCACACTCGACCTCACCAAGGTCGGAGAGCACTCGCTCATCTGGAGCACAGCAGATTCGTCGATACAGGGTCGACAGCTCTTCGAAGGACTGTCTTTCGGCATATCCCCACAAGTTCTCTCTCCATATATTGACTTCATGAAATTACGAAACTATATAGTTACCTATTATGGTTCTTCCACCAGGTGTCCTCTTCGAGTTGGAAACAAGCTGGCGGACCCAATTATATAATTGGACAGCGCCTCAAGGCTACACATGGCTACACCTGCACTGGCGGACGAGGGTTCCTCCTTTCCTCCCTGGGCTGGACATGGCTGGAGCATGGTCCAAGCCCAGTGCCGTGCCCTCCAAGCACAGACCATTAACGACACAGTTCAAGGACTGAGGACGTGGGGACTGGAGTGAGATCTATACCCTACACCTCCAGTCGTACCTCCTCAGGTTCGGTATGACCGGACCCGCCTGGCACCCACCCACCCCAGTCCCCACCTTCGAAACGGTTCGGTACGACTGGAGGCTGGGATAGTATCTTTGAACCTATCTTTGAATATCGGTGATCCATGAGTTACATTGACACGTCTTGATACTCCCTTCGTTTTGGAAAGTGTTCGACGATGAAAGATGGGAAACTCAAGATCGGTTGGGTGAAATCGCTTCGGACCTGTTGCCACTACTGCAGGGTGCTTTGGTTCCATGCAAGTAGAACGTGAGTGACCCCTGTTTGGAAAGATCTAACATTTGTGGCCGTCTAAGGTTCCAAACGGATCTCATATTGAAAAATGCACCGCAACAAAAAAAAGGAAGAATTGAACCACATACATCAGTCTTCACCGAACACGCAAAACCATTCCCTGTTCTTTCCACCACATCGCCGGTCGTCGCTGCCGACAAAAATCGCTGCCCAGATGCAGTTCCAAGACCCACAGCACCACCTGGTGCAGCTATCTGCGGCGAAATCAAACCCCCAAACAGGTCTACCAGAGTCTACCAAGCAGTTCCATGGAGTTTCGGTGCCGAAACCGATTTCGGAGAGGGTGCCACGATGTCATCTCCGCCCCCGGATGGGACGAAAAACACTCCGATCGAAATTCGGGTCCAGCTGGTCCAGCTGTCCGAGCCGATCGCTTTGCCTCCGAGCCGATCGATCTCGGCTCAAGGTCGGGGACTCCTGGTGCCCACCCCCGGAGCTCTTAGCTGGTCCAGACATGGAATGGAATGCCCCAACTCCAAAGACCACCCCCAAAGCGGGACCGTGGATCACTGGGCCGAGAAGAGGCGCTTTGGGGTGGTTTGGGGCTTGTTCCATGTAGGCAGAGATTCCATTACATTCCAGAGGGGGTTTGGGTACAGAAACACTCCAAGGCCATGCAAACCTTTACCACATCCTCAATTCAGTCATGTCCCAAGTGTTTTGAGAACTGGGAGATCTTGGAGGATCATGGTGGTGCTGCACTTGTTCCTTCAGAAAGCATGCCTGAACTCTTCGGCTTGCGCAAGGCTTCCCAGCGCAAGGCTTCCGAATTCTCGGCAGAAAAAACGACTAAGTCCATGCAACAACATGTGCCCATGCGAAAACAAGGCCACCGAATGGCCACCCAATTCCGCGCCTCCGAATTGCCGCCGAAGAAGGCAGTTCTCTCCCCAATCCCCACACTGCAGATTGGCGATCCCTTCTTTCCAGTCTGGAAGATTCACCAAGTAGATATTCCATGAACAGGTGACCCCTGTCGTTCTTTTTGTCACAAATAAAGACAACACCGAACAGATTGCTCCAAGTCCTCTCCTTTGGTCACAAGAGGTCGTTAACGGCCCCGAAACCGATGGTTCTCCGTGTTCTCCGCCTCGGAGACCAAGGCGGTTTCGATGTGGAGGCCCAAGGGCTGTACTTTGAGCTCAAAGCGCCTCACCTGCCAGTCGACAGCAGTCATCAGCGGGTGGTCTCCGTCTGTGGATGTTTCCGGTGGAGAAGGGTGGGGCGATGGTCGAGGGTGAGATGGTGGCTCCAAACAGGTGTGAGACGTGTTTTGGACATTATCACGGACACTCACTTGAGGACTCCAGGACTCCCCAAAAAAAAGCCTGGATCAAATACCGAGACAACATTGACCTACATGGACACCAGAAACCACTCCAATGATCTCTAACGTTGGTAACATGGAGTGTTTGGGATGTCCGATGTCCTGAGACACGGAGATACAAAGCTGTGACGGAGATGCCCATGCAGTGATCACGAAGAGAAACCTTGTTGTGCATGCGTCGAGATTGGTCAATACTGCATAGGTTTGGATGTAGGTGAAAACACCATACCCCTGCATGTGAACATGCCTGCAAAGCTCTCAGAGAAAAAGGATTTTGACCTGGTGGGAGTCTTCGGCCATCCCTACCAGACCATGCCAGCATCATCCAGCATCCATATCAAGTGGTTATTGGATGGAAAATGCATGAAAATACCGAGGGGTCTATCAACCACCTCTTTAGCTGGGTGGTGCTGCTGGAGTCCGTTTCAGCCTCCAGGGTGGTCACTCCCATCCGTTTCAGGCAGTTTCAGGCTCCATACCTCGTAGTGGGCCGATCCATTGCGGCTCGGGCCCGTCGCCGCCTGGCGCGGTCGGCGGGCCCCAAGACCCGCCTCCGGTCCAGCGGGGAGAGTGATGGGTCCGTTGGTCCCACGATGTCCCGGTCACATCGGGGGGATTGACATGAATATATGTTGTTGTAAAATTAGATAGACCTGTATGCCCGAATCCTTGGAGCCTCCATGGCAACTTGCCGCAATAGGTTGTACTTTCAAAACCCTATGTCTTTGAGCCGGATCGGTAGACTGCAGGTCCCCTCCATTTGGATCGGATATGATAAAGTTTGTATAGACAGTATAGAGGGATTTGTTAGATGAGTGTTGTTCTCTTGTTTAGGTAACTCAAAAGGCAACTGAACAATCCACGCGTCTTAAATTCATATAAATGTAATATAATCTAGGAAGCATCCTCACGTGTGTTCTGTAGATGTATGTATTTGGACCATCATTCTAGATCTGATTCTAGTTGCTGTAATTTGTGTTGCAATTTGTTGCAAATATTTGCAACGTGTCTACCTCCTCCCCTGCAACTAATCTTTAGCAGTTTGCTGTGGCAGGTGACCTCACTAAAGGCTAAAGAATCCCAGATCCAACCAACGCACCAAAATGCGCCGAAACAACCTCTCGGCGACACACTTGCTCAGATCGCTCTCTGGCCTGCGGCTCTATCAGCCTAGGAGCCACTTCTTGATTTTCGGTGATGAGCTTCAACCTGAGCGGAGCGCGGTTGGCGCGTTGTTTGCAGCCGGCCGCGCGCGTTTCCACTCGAGCGGCAAAGTCCCGGACGACCGCGACGTGGACGTTCGGTGTGGAGGGAAATTGGACAACGAGTTCGTGGTCCATGCAGTCGTGGTCCATGCGATTGTTCGCACTCCACGCCAGTTATCGTACTTCAAAATCTTCAAGGGCAACGAAGGACCGCCTGCATGCAGAAATCGAAACCATCTATAGGCCAGCTTCGCGTCCTTCCTGGCGCAACTCCGTCAGAAGCATGCTATGCTTCGGAAGAAGGTCATCCGCTTGGAGGCCTCTCCGTTCCATCCCGAAAGGGTCGTGCCTCCAAAGCCTCCACCCTTGAAAAAGGGTCGTGCCGGTTGGTGGTAGACCCATGGGAAACTGAAGCTGGCCACACATGCAATCTCAAACCCCAGCATGTTGGATGGATGTTGATGCATGTTGTGTACCCGTGGGAAAAGGGATGAATTTGGGGTTTCTTTTCCATCTTTTACGAGACCGCTTTTTGGAGCTCCCCGTCTTTCAGTCCGAAAGGCATGGCTTCCAGATGCAGGATGGCCGGTGGCTCCCCGTCTTCGGACAAAATCTGCAGTGGCCCCGTGAAGGGTCTGAGCACCGAGTGGCACGCTTTGCCTCGGAGTTGAGGTGGAACTCTCGGAGTTGAGGTGGAGCTCTCGGAGTTGAGGTGCTGCTGCTTTGGGGTGATTTAGAAGTATATGTTTCAGACTTATAAGTATATAAGATAGAATAAGTCTGTTTGGGGTGGTGTTTGAGACTCCTGAAACAGCCTTAACAGTGAGATCGACTTACGTCGATGCCCTGAACTTCATGAACAGTCGGACTGGCCAGACTGGATGAGACGAACAGTAGTCAAGAACGCTAGACGAAGCGAGCAAACTCACACATTGCTTACAAACCTCACCCTTGATTCACCCAAACCGGGTCTCTGAACAAGCGATTTGTTGAATCTACGTTCTGTTCCACTTGGGTTACCACCTATCCTGGGTGGTGGACACAGGAAGAACAAACTTTGATGATCCTGGCAAAAACCAGCTGCCCAGCACCTCCTAAGGAGGTATTGCAGGTACTTCAATTGGTAGAACAATCAGCTCAAGTGCAGTCATAAAGCCACTGCTTTAGGAGGTGCTGGTGTCTTTAGTGCCATTAGTGCCTTTAACTTTGGTGCCTTTCAAACTTTAGTGACTGGAAGGCGGAGTCTCGGAGAGCATGTCCATGCTCTCCACCAACTAGTATACATGATGGAAATTCAGCATCTCCTCAAGGTCCAGCTGGATTTGGGGGCTACATCTTCAGCTAGAAGATCTTTGAATCTTTGAGGGTGCCAAGGCTTAAGTGCTTCTGAGATGCTGGATTTTTGGACCAATAATTCTGGCCCCACGCCAGAGAAGACTCCAATCAACCGTGAGCATCGGCTATTGATTACAATCAATATTCTCCAAATTGATACATTTTCAATAGAAAAAATCAATTCTAGAATATTGATTTTGCTGAAGAAACAAATCAATAAAAAAAACTCTGCAGAAAACAATGAAAAATCAAACCCAGAATCAATAGAAAAATCAAACCCAGAATCAATAGAAAAATCAAACCCAGAATCAATAACCCTGCCCATCCCTGTGATCCTTTTCCATTAGATCGAGTTGGTGAAACCTTGCTTTGAAGGTGCTTGCACAACAAACTCTTTTGCAAAGGCTTTGGGTTGCATTACCCCTCTTCCAAGGGTTGAAAATCCCTTTCCCAAGGGCCCTCTTCCAAGGGTTGAAAGTCCCTTTCTCAAGGGCCCTCTTCCAAGGGTTCAACAAGGATCTCTTTCTCCCAAGCTGAAATTGTCTCTAGTCATCAGAAGATGAAGTAATACTCTGTATTTGGGGGCCATCTTCTTGGAGAGCTTGGTATTTCGAACACCAGGGCTGATAGAAAAAACCAGCTCACTGATTCTGGCTACATAGTTTTCATTTGCAAAGCACCAGCAAGCTTTAGGATTCAAGTGGCAGCTGTTAGCCACAAGGTGTTGGAAGGCATGGAACTTGTAAACAATGTGAAACAAGTACTTCCCTTCTTCAAGGGCCCACTGATTCAGCACACTGTAGGTATCCAGGAACTCTTTTGCAAGAGAGGTGGCTTTGCTGTATTCTTCCTGGGAAAGGAAGACATCAGCTGAGTCAAACAATTCCACCACTGCTTTCATGCTTTCCATGGCCCCCAGCATGCAAGACTCATGCCAGATTTCAGGATCCAATACAGCCTTGCAAACCCTCAAGAATGCAGGAAGAAAGTGTTTAGACTCTCCACCTTTCAAATTCAGAGCTGGGTAAGATGCATGTGGCTGCTTGGTGTCTGCAAACATAGACAGTTTCAAATTTGTGACTCTCACCTGGCTCCCTAGCTCTTGGTAAGCCTTTTGCAAGGCTGTCCACAACATTCCTAGCCTCTCCTGGGCTGGCATTTTCTGCCTCCCTGCACCATCATGCCACACTAAATAGTGTAGGCAGGAGCCCAGGAGATGGCTGTAGATGCCCTTGCACCACAAAATGTGCAGGGCATCCCCCCCTCACAAATTTGGTTGTTAAGCCTGGAAGCTGGTGGAATAAAGGGTGCTTGGAACCAGGGTTCTCTGCAGCCTCTTTGTTGCTCACAACTTTAAAGTCCTGCTTGTCTTGCTCAATGTTCTTGAAGTACTTGGAAGGATCATCTGTGCTGGACTTTGCATCGCATTCCATGCAGGGGCTTAGGCTGCCCCAGTGGGCAAGGCCCAACTGATTTGCAAAAAACTCAGCATCCCCTTGGATGCTCCAGAGGACTGCTCTGTAACCAGAGCACAGGGGCTTGCCTTTGCTTGCATAGAAAGGTGAACCCTTTTGCAAAGGCTTGCCATCTGAATCATGGGTTGGATGGAACCCTTTCTCAAGGGCATTGAAGCTCCAACAAATTTCTTTCATAAGTTGGTTCCAGGTCTCTGGGCTGGTGGAACTCTTTGGGTAACAGCTGATGAGGAATTGTGACTCATGTTTGCTGAATTTGGTCATCATTGGGCCCCAGCTGTAGCACATTAAGGAATCTCTGGTGGAGTATTCCACCCCATCTCCATGTAGCCATATTGGAATTGTCATTTTTTCTCCAATTGCGAGTGAGCATGGGATGGTTCAAGAGCCGTTCATCCTTGGAGTTTTCAACCCCTGCCCAGAAGCCTTGCACTTTTTCAAGTGGAAAACTTTCACCAAAATTTGGCAGCTGTGCCAAATCTGCAAACATCACATGTGGTAGGAATACTGCTGCATCTTCTTTTTTCGGCCTTGAGGCTCTTAGGATCTAGGCAGCTGACCTGGACCTCCATGGGAGGGGATATACAATTTTCTTTCACAAATCTAGCCATGATATCTCTGTGGATGTTTCCCCTGTGCTTCCCATAGTTGCCTGCCTTTGCAATATCTTGTAATTCAGCAGCCTCACACCCATCCAAACATGCTGCTTGGGCTAATGATTGGATAGATACAGCACTGAGCCTTCCATGGGCCCAAAATGACAGCAGAAGATTGGCCAACACACTTTGGGGAGCACTCCCTTTCTCAAAGGTTTGCACTCCCTTTCCCAAGGGTTCAGGGCCTAAAGCTTGTTCCAGCTGCCATCCCCTCAGCCTTTTGGCCATGCAACCCTAAATTGTTCTCCCAAGCATGACTTGAGCCATGCTAGGTGGTACACCAAACAATGAATTGTTTTCCTGAACACAGTGTCCATGGTTGTGAAAGAATGCTACCATGTTTATGTGCAAACACACCTCCAGAGTATAGCCCCTTGAGAAAGGGAAGAGTCCAAACACACCTATACAACCAATTATAAACCACATTTGCACCCACAGACCCCCCAACCCCACTCAGAACACAAAGGCTTTTTTTCTACTGAGGTGTAGGTCTGCTTGCTGCACTCAAAAACCAGGCTGCCTTCTTTGTAAGGCAAGCGCTACAAAAACCAAACTCCAGGCTATCCCTTCTGCAAGGGTCCCTCTTGCAAAGGTCTCTTTCCCTTCTGCAAGGGTTCATTTCCCTTCTGCAAGGGTCCCTTTTGCAAAGGTTCCTTTCCCTTCTGCAAGGGTTTATTTCCCTTCTGCAAGGGCCACTGTGTTATTCATCTACTTGTGCTTTGATGACTTGGAACCGGTTTTCATGCTGATTTGCACCAGTTCCTTGGCCTCATCCTTAGCATCTTTCACAACAGCCACTGCTTCCTTCAGCAAGTCTTTCATCTTGCTGACCTTTGTCTTCTCTGCTTTCAAGAGTGTGTCCTTCACTTGGTTGAAAGACTTTTGCAAAGTCTTCAGCATGTCTTCTTTTTGCTTCAGAGCAGGCTTGGACAAGTAGCCCATGGGCTTCACCTTTTCCAAGGCCTCTTCATAGTTTGCCATGGTATGAGCCAGCAAATCCCTGCTCTTCCTAAGCTTTGTGAGAGCATCAACTCTCTGCTCTTCCTCAGTCATGTCTTCAAGGGGCAAGGGGTCTTTCCCATTGTTGTTGTTGTTGTTGGGATTCTTCCCTTGCCCCTTTCCTTTTCCCTTTCCTTTGGTTTTCCCTTTGGCAAGGGTTGTCCCCTTGCCTGGTCCATGTTCAGACATCAAGGCCAGCAAGTCTTTGTCCAGCAGCTTCTCCCATTCATCCTCTTCATTCCTCTCCTGCTGGAACTCCTGGGCCTGTGTCCATGACCTCTTGTGCTTTCCTGCTAGCTTCCTTGTCCATTGTTGTGTGTCCATATACTCGTACACACCCCATGTGGAAGATTCCCTCCACACAACCCGACCTGACTCTATGTGCTTGTTGAGGTCATCTTCTCCCCATTTTTCAAGGGCTTGCTTTTCAGTGATCCATTCTTCATGTTTGGTCAAAGACTGCTCCATTTGGGTTTGCTTTGCAACATTGCAAAACTTAGGGCTCTCAGCCCTCATCAGGAAAAGGGCGGTTTTGAGGCCCTTGTCCTTCTTGTTGCTGTTCTGGTAGTCCTCCAGGTCTTCTTCATTTCCTTCTTTGTTTAAGTGTTTGTTGTGCCTATTCCAGGCCCTGGTTTTCTCCTCTTGAGACATTTCATTTTGCAATTCCATTGCTGCACTCACTTCATCTTCATGCTCTTCAGCAATGGCTCTCACCTTGTCTTTCAAGGAGAGCTGTCCCAACTTTTCCAAGTTGCTCCTTTTCAGGAGTGACTTCATTGGCTTGTTTTTGGCCTTTGCCTTGGCTTTTGCCTTGGCTGTGACCTTCATCACCTTCATGGCCTTCATTGCTTTCCCCTTTGGCAAGGGCATGTTTGGAGGCCCCTGTGCTATACTATCTATCCCTTTTGAACAATAAAATGATTGCAGTACAAACAGTGCTAATATCTATGAACCGGTGATGAAAGGTGATGAACAGAGTGGTGAAAGGTGATGAAAGATGATGAAAGGTGATGAAAGGTGATGAAAGGTGGTGAACAGGGTGATGAAAGGTGATGAAAGGTGATGAAATGTATGTGTTCATCACCTTTCATCACCTTTCATCACCTTTCATCACCTTTCATCATCTTATATGTTTTCACCTTCTGGTGTATTGATTTGGTATAACCTGTGCCCAGAAATGGGATGGATCCTTTGGTACCACTTGGAAAAAGTAGCCCTTTGGTTAGAGACCCACTGGTGCAGGAACCCTGTGGTAATTAGAGACCCTTAGAGACCCTTAGAGACCCTGTGGTTGGAGACCCTGTGGATGAAGTAATTGGATCACAACCCTTTTACAAGGGCAGTAATGGATGCCCCTGTCCAGCCTGCCTTAAACACATCTTTTTCTGCCAGCCTGCCTTTCCAGGCTCTTGCCCAGGTTTCTATAGCCAGGCTGCTACCACCACACCAACCACAGCAAACAAAACACAGCTTTCTAAACAACATCTTTTTAAAACTATTTCATTTAACACCTTTGGCAGCAGCCTGGCTCCAAAAACATGCAAGGTGAAACCCCTTTCTCAAAGGATTCCCTTTCTCAAAGGATTGCCTTCCCTTTCCCAAAGGTTTTCCCTTCTTCAAGGGCCTTCCCTTTACCAAGGGTGTGCATGCACTTTCCTCACAACTCTGCATGCATTTCCTTCCCCAGAAAAGAAGCCACTGCCTCACTGAAGGACATCCAAGGCCTGTGCCCCATGTTCTCAAACCAGGTGTGTCTCTCCTTTCTGCTCATGATGGGGTAGGTCTCCACTCCCTCAGAGATGGCCTCAGAGCAGATGTCCTGGGCATCATCAAACAGCACTGTAATGTTGGCTGCCTGGCATCTGGCTGCCTTGCCAAGGGGCCCTGTTCTGTCCCTGATGCAGTAGGCATCTTCAAGCTTGGGAAACCATGGTTGCTTCCTGAGTGTCTCCATCACTTCCCTCTCTCTGCTTGAAGCACCATGAGCAAATGGTGATGGAGTAGCCCAGGTTGATCAAGGTTTCCAGAGCCTGGTGGTTGGCCTGTGGAATCTCATAATCATTCACAGAAAGGATGTTGTGAAAATCCACCATGATCTTCTTCTTGGCCATGCCACCTGGCTTGAACTTGCTGCTTCACCTTTCTCAAGGGGTTCCTGCTTCATTGAATCCCCTTTCTCAAGGGTTTCCTGCTGCATTGAACCCCCTTTCTCAAGGGTTTCCTGCTGCATTGAACACCCTTTCTCAAGGGTTTCCTGCTTCATTGAACACCCTTTCTCAAAGGTCTCTGGCTGCTCTTCTTCAGCTTCTATCGGTTTCTCTTTCTCAAGAGCCCCAAGTTTTGCTGCTTTCAGTTTCAGGTGGTTTGGAATGTCTTCTTGCTCTTTGAGCCATTGTTGTCTGTCTTCCTCTTTCTTTTTCCAAACCAAAGTTCCCCTGCCAGTGCTGGAAACACTGCTGGCACAACTGGAAACACTGCTGGCCCTTCTTGGTTTCCTGTTCTTCTTTCCATTTCTGACCAGCCCTGAGCCTTCTGCTTCTTCATGAATGGGCAGGCTCAATTCCCTGTCCCTGTGCCACCCACCATGGCTGGAACTTGAGGAGCTTGGGCTCCTTGAAGAGGACCTCCTTTTCCAAGGAGTATGGTGTGATGAGCTGCTTCTGCTTGGGCTCCTCCACCTCCTGTGGTTGTCCCACTCTTCCTCACTCCAATCCCACCATTCATGGTTTGCCCACCATGACCCCTCAGGCTGGTCCTCCCACCAATCCCATTCCTCATCATGGAGGTGCCTTTCCCAATCTTCTTCTGGTTTTTGCCTTGGTTTCCCCACCCTCCTTTGCTTTCTGGCCTGGCTTGTGGTGCCAGCACCATACACCCTGCCAGCTTTGTTCATGTTATCCCCTTTGGCAAGGGTCAACCTCCACTCCTTCCATGTCCATGATGGCCATGGGTTCTCTCGACCTGCCATCCCCTTTTCCAAAGGCTCCCCCTTTTCAGGGGCAACCCCTTTTCAGGGGAACCACAGATGGCTTCACAAGCCAAAGCAAGACTGCTAACTGTAGCTATGCCCAAGCCCAAAAGCTGCAGAAGGAGACCCATGGTTGGTTTGTATACCCTATGGTTTTGGTGGGGTGTAAAAAAAAACCCTAACATTAACATGCCAGACCCTGGTTGGTGTGTATGCCCTATATGGTTTTGGTGGGGTTAAGAAAGAACCTAACAAAACCAAACCAAGAACCACCCTCAGGGCAAGAACCAAGAACCACCCACAAAAAGACAAGAAAAGCAAGAACCCAGACCAAGAACCACCTAAAAACATTGAGGCAACACCTAGAAACACAACCAGATCAAACCTATACCTAGAAACATCTAGAAACAAGCAAGCTTGCATGTTTTACACACACACAAAGCACCTTGTTTCAGCCATTTTTTTGGCTGTAAAAAATGTTTCAGCCATTCTTTGGCTGTCAAAAACTGATATATACACAGCTGTCCCGTTTGCAATCGATGTTTCCTTTAGCAAAGGATGTTCCCTTTTTCAAAGGATGTTCCCTTTTTTCAAAGGATGTTCCCTTTTTCAAAGGATGTTCCCTTTTTCAAA